AGTAGATTTTCGTGATCAACAGCTCTTGCTCTATCAAATGATGTAAACAAAATGACAAAAAAAAATTTTTTACTCGAAGTTTGAATTGCCTGCACCTTACAATTTGTTTTGGTCGATGACTTTCCCCACCCTCGGTATTTAGATTACTTTGAATAATACGTCAAAGCTTTCATATATTCCTGATCCACGAAACGAAAAGTGGTTTAGATTAAATGGATCAAAATTCAACGTCGCAGTCCTCAAAGTCCATGGACTTTTCAAAGCTAAAAGATCCTATACTTCATTACTATTACAAATCTGTAGAGGGTCCACTGGATGAAACAGATATACTTTTTGAACAAATCGTTAAACATTATAGTATTGCAAATGTTTACGATTTGAAAAGTGCCATTAGACTCGCTTTTGAGCCGATTAATGAGAAGAAAGTAAGTTGAGGATCAGAAATGGTAAAAATAATTTATTGCCTTTTTTCAATATGGATACAGCGTCAACTGGCGATCTATGTGCATAATGAACGTGGTAAGAATACGAAATCATTTTGCCAAATATTGATGTCGGCGCAAGTTACAGAATATTTAATCAATAATTACATTTTTTCGCCAAACTGTGTAATCAATAACATGTTGAAAGAGAAGTATGTATCTATTAATCTTTGTTCTTGTTAACAAAATATAGAGCTTGAAATGATCACCTAAGCCTAAGTACCTATCGAAAAAGACCTAAAGCTAATGACAGCACAGGCGTAATTTATTGTCATTTGTTGTAGTTTTGAATAGGGGTAGCACATTACTATTACTTTTTATTACTATTATCCGGTAATTGGTAATAACTATTGTTACTTTTATTACTTATTACTTCTTATTACAATTTACTTTGTTTTTATTATTTTAATGGTACTAGAGCTTTTATTTATTCTTTTTAGCGGAAGATGAATTAGTTTCCTGTTACTTTATTACTAATTACTTTTATTACTTTATTACCAGTAATAAAGTAATAAAAGTTTAAAAGTAATAAAAGTAATTAGTAATAAAGTAATTAGTAATAACAAGGAATAACTATTACTGTAATAATATAATAACAAAACAACAAATACAATACAAAACAGATAGGAAGAACGGGTAAGGTATTGGTACATAAATTTTATTTATTAATCAAATATTTAGGGCTACTACAGTTCCAGATCATAAGTTCAGATCAAATGAGCGAAAGATTGTTCGAACAGATCAGTCCCTGGAACTGATCTATCCGAGGTTAAGGCTCGCTCCCACTCAAAAATCTATTTTTGCTCCAGAACAAGATATCTGGCTGAAACTTTCAGGAAATATATGCCGGAATGTACATAGCTCATAGTAAAAATTTCAGCCCAAGATATTGAAGGATTCGATATTTATCCTAGTATCAAGGGTCAGAAAGTATATTGTCATATTCTAAGGATTCTTCTTCCAAATCTAATCATACAGATTTCGGGTTCATATCGAAATGTAGGTAATGCCTGCCGCTACAACTTAAGAAGGGCCGATTTTTCAAAATTTTGTTTCTTTACATCTGATGAAAACTTCCCTTAACCCATTCGCGGCGACATGAATATTGCTTTTTCATAATTCGTCAAAAGTTTCATTTCTTTATTTGTAGCAACTGTAGTGCTTTAAACCAGAAAGTGTGGGGTGTGGGTGTGGATGTAGGTGCGCTTATGGATCTTCTCTTCAACAGAGCCCATACCCACACCCACACCCACACCCACACCCTATATAAGCCTTAGCGGCCTATAATGAGTACCCCCATATACGCCTTAGAGACCTATGAAAGATACCCCTATATAGGCCTTGATGATCTATAGATGATACCCTATAGAGGTCTTAGGGACTTATAGAGGGTACCCATATATAGGCCTTAATGACCTATGAAAGGTACCCTTATGTAGGCCTTAGAGACCTATAGAGGGTATAAACTCAGATCGATTAGTTCCTAGGCCTGATCTGTTCGAACGATCAGATCCTTTCAGAAGAACTTTTTGAGCAGTTCTTTTGATCGGATCTAATCTATTCAAACAGATCTTTCGATCATTTGATCCAGATCTTTGATCTGGATCTGTACGAGTCCCAGTAATTATTACTTATTACTGATAATTAGTAATAACATTACTTTATTTCAATTATTTCTGTATTACTTTTATTACTTTTCAAAACTATTACTTATTACCGGTAATAAGTAATAACGTCATTAGTTATTGCTTATTACCATTAACAGTAATGTGATACCCCTAGTTTTGAAGATGTGAGTGTCAGTATATGTATATTGTGGAAAACCTTTCGAGAAAACTTTATTTATGAGAACGGTGATGACGAATGAAAATAGTCTTTTTCTTTGGTTATTTGTTTAGAGCTAGATCTTTGATTTTTTCGTTGATGTTTAGATTTTTCCACGAGTGGAGAAAAGAGATCAGTCGGTCGGAAAATTTCGAATCTCTCGATGATAACTGCTATCCATATTTTGTATTGGTTTTTCTTCCTCCTGGAGAACTGAAGCTGAAAATAATACCAATCGTTGCTGGTGATTCATTGCAATGCGAAGATGAACAACAGTTTTTAGAAAGACTGGAAAAAGGTGCTTCATTATTTTCAAAAACATTGGTAAGATATATAAATATTTGAACAAAGCGATTACGTATTCCACTTTCTTATCCTACGCTTGCAGATCTCTAGCAAAGACTTAGTTTTTAAGTTTTTCCGCTTCTTTTGTCAGTCTTTAGAAAGATAACTAATAAATGGAAGAGAAATCGCTTCTACATTGAATAAATATCGATATTTTAACTTAATACATAAAGCTAACTACATTTTTGCACTTTAGGCTAGTCCAAAGTCGTCTATGAAAGAAGAGCTACTCAAGTGCCGTTTTGGGCGTGTTATAGACCCGGATTTTACTACATCTTCAGATTCGCCAGGAAGTTCGGATGAAGAGGCGCATCGAGTGAAAAAAATGAATAAAATATCAAGTTTACATGTAGCACTACCAGAAATGGCAATATCTGATCACTTAGCTCTTGACTTTGAATCATATCCATTCACAATAAGGCATCCAACAACAAATGAAGTCAAATTTGGTGCCAAATCAATATACTATCGTATTTTTGGATTCCCATGTTCAATTGACACTGGCCCAGGCTGTAATGAACGTATCGATGGAACATTCATAACGGAAGATGTTAATTTGATAACAGAGTTTATCAAGAGTCGTGGTGGTATGCCATCGTTAAAAATTCACGATTTACCAGAAGATTTGCAACAAAAACACATGTCTTATCGTAACCGAGATCAAGATTATCCAGGAAAGATAATATTTGATGCATATGAACAAATTAATGATCTTTGGAGACCGCCTATTGATCTCGGTGAAGGAAGTTTAGAGCTTTTTCTACATGACACGCTTAGATGCTCTCAACCTGTGGCCGATAAATCAGACACAGTCACATTTATCTATCTGGCTGGCCATGGATTATCGAAACCAACAATAGACAAATTATTAGCTGGCTCCTCATTGGGTGATATAAACAAAAACTTGAATGAGAAACACGCAACGACTATGTTTGTTCATGAATTTACTACCGGAAGTCCATATACGCCCAAGACTGGTGACATCTTAGCCTATGCAACATTTCTTGATCAGAATATTTTTCTCGATGAGTTTGTGCCTTGTAAGACTTTTCATGGAAATCCTATCATTAGTCGTCATCTAATATTATTAGTAGATTCATGTTATTCTGGTAATTGGATTGATCATTTGTACAGAATTAAGTCTCGTCTTAGATTTAATAAAAATATATCAGTAACGATACAAACAAGTAGTACTGCTGAAAAATCATCAAATGGGCTCTACTTTGTACCGTTATTTATTAAATTTCAAAACTTGACCGAACAAGAATTAACTGAAATTTGCGAAGAATATGAACAGCTTGATGATAAACGAAAGGAAGATCTAACAAATCGTGCGGTACAATTACCATTATTTTACTGTGCATATAATATTTCGATAAAATTATTTAATCCTGATGATTCGAATGATGAAAAAAGTCTTTTTATGTCAACTAATGGGGATGATCAATTATTCTTTCGTATACACGGCTTCCGATTTTTTACAAAAAAATCGTTTTTTGCCTTTTTCGCTGATAAATATAAAGAATTATCAATAATGTTAACTCCAGATAGTGATGAATTAACAGTTAGACCAATATTACCACCAAATGAAACTGATCGATTCATGAAGACCTTTATCTCATTAAATCCCTCAGTTCAAAAATATCATGAAGCGTTGCCAAGCATGCAGTATAATAAAGATGTTCCAAAAATGATAATAATTGGTATGAAATTGAAAATGGCGCAGAATAACACTCCACTGTGTATTGTGGCAATAGCATCATCAATCAAATTTGAAACCACTAATACACCTGAAGAAACTAAATTGTGTCATTATCATTTGCATGTACATTTTCTCCCCCGCCAACATGTGCTATATCCGGGTTGTATATCCGGTCTTAAATTATATGATGCAAAAATAACTATGAAAACAATAAATAATGCGAAAGGACAACAACCAGTTTCACGAGAAGTCGAGGCTAGGAACCAGCTTGACAAAGATGCACAAGATTATTCTCGACGGGCAAACACACAACCACCAGAATTATATGTACCTGGCTATCGTGCATATAGTGCGCCACTTTTGCAGTGTTTATCTACATGGGCAAATAATCGTGACATCAGTGATGGAACCGTATGGAATGATCCATATAGCTGGAAGGCTGAGCAACTATTAGGAGATGTAATAGTTCGTTCGAGAGAAATTATTATCGATAAAAAAAAGGCAGAAGAAACGCTTGTCAGTAATATCCAAAAAATACGGGAATCGTGACCTAAGAATGAAAATGATAACAACTTTCTATCATAGGTAAACGAGTTTAAGATGTGCCATTTCTTTGCTATTTATGTTTATTGTCTGAATGATTATTTTAATTAAGAATTAATAAACTCAGCGAAATCAGCAATCATAAAATAAATATGTTGCATCGAATTTTGTATTAGTGGTGTAACCACGATTTTTTAGTATGCTAGATCTCACCTTCAGAACTTGGAACCCTGATGAAACTTATGGAGAATGATATAAAACTCAAATAATGAGTTTCTGTCAAAAGATTTTCGTGATTAGAGTTTGCGAAAAAAATTAGCATTTTCCTGAGCTGCACCGAAAAATTTCCTATGTTTTTGAGGATCTTCTATTTTTGAGAATGCCATTGTAGGCTATGCCGAATTTTATCGACACATTTCAGATTTCATCTAAAAATATTGATCCGTTCAGAAGTTATGACATTTTGGATTTTGAGAAAACGGCACAAAAATCGCTGCAGGAATTTAGAGCGTCATAACTCCTGAACGGATCTATATTTTTAGATGGAATCTGAAATGTATCGATGAAATTCGGCATAGCCTACAATGACATTCTCAAAAATAGAAGATCATTAAAAACATGGAAAATTTTCTGGTGGTGGGTGTGGATGGGTGTGGGTGTGGATGGGTGTGGGTGTTGGGGTGTGTGGATGGAGTGTGAGTGTGAGGTGTGGGTGTAGATCAAATAATATACCCACACCCCAAACCCACACTCACACCCCACACCCACACCCTACACCCCACACCCCATCCATAAAAACACCATATGAGACGAGTATATGATCAAACGAATGCAATCAATCATCTAACTACGATATTTATTAATGTCCATCAAATTAAAGACTGTAGAAAATAAAAAATATTTCAACCATGTGGAATAATATGAAGCTGGCTCATAATAAGAAATTAGTAATTAAAGAAAGTAAAAATGGTAAAAAGCAAATTATATTGTTGAAAAAAGAACCTACTATCTATGGAAATGAGAAAAGTTCATTGATTAGTCATCGGAATGTGATCTTGTTTGTTGAAGCTGATTTTAATGTCGAAAAGAATGATAACCGGCTTAATGTCAATGCATTCATTTCCATTTATATCAATATATGTTGCCTGTTCGATATGATCAATAAGATCTATCAATCGAAGATAATAAACGAAAATGAAGGTAACTTGACTATATAAGTCATCGAGAAAAGTAAATGAGCTTAAAACTCATTCAAAATTCAAAATTTTCTAATTGGTACTTCTATAGGTAAGAGTGGAGATCGTTACTATGATGCATTTTGACCCCATTGGAATTACTTCATCGTGTGGAGATCGATATCCGCCAATGATCTCATCATGATTTAAATCGAAGTGATTTGCTTGTTCGACTCGAGATGTGATGTCAGGTTTTCTGGTTCGTCCATCTCCGTACAAGTCTAAACCTATGCTTTCTTCAAATTTTCTCTTGATAAAGCCTACATACAATGAAATAAAGAAAATCGAAAAATTCCAATTATCCTGTCAAAAACGAAACTTTAAAAAAATCCGTGTATTTGCGGAAAATTTTTAGAAACTCGCCTTAATTTGCAAAATATTTTTCTAGCCGATGCATCTCATACACGGAACATGCAAGTTATCTGAAATATCAGTAATTGTTGAGTATAAACACAAAACAGTGGCACATGCAGAGACATGTGTCTCAGAGACTGAAACCGAGTCGAGTCGAGTCGCGCTTTTTTTGACTCGTTTCGGTGTCTGATGTGTCGAACAATCGCATTCATGAAATCACGATTGTTCAACTTTTTAGGCACAATATGCTAGTGCGCACATGACTCTTATGCTTGCAAATACTTGAAGGATAATTAGAACTTTGTTAAATGCTGTATATCAATGTAAAAAGTTGGTATTTAAGGAAAACTATTACTAAAGTGATTCTGCATTGACATGCAGATGTCAGTTATCTACAGTGTGCACGCTGATTTATGCAAGAATTAAATGTTTTCTTCGACGTATAATATTTATTTATTGAGTTTTCGTTAAAATGAGATAATCTTTCGACATGATAAAACTATATTAACTCAAAAATCGTAATCATTTTTTAAAAACTCTTCATATTTATTAGCGCTCATGTAATTATATGCATGCTTAATAGTTATTCGACTATAAATAATATCGTTCAGTTTTTATTAGACTTCCTACGGAAATAGATAGTCCAATAATGAAGAAGTTCTCTTTCATATGCTTGATATACATAAACCTCAATATGTGTCCATGTCACACAGTGTTTTATCTAGGTTGCGTTTTTCTGGTAGGCGGCTGAAGTTTTCGGAGAGACTGTTAGCTAAAAATTTTTTTACTATCTTGCAAATGCACACACAAAGTCTTTTTTTTCTCACAATGCAATTACACTTCTCTTCTGTTACCAATACAATGTGGAAAAAACCTCGAAAGAAAACCAGAACACTTCGAGAGAAAAAAAAACAACAAATCTGAATTAAACCGAGATTTTTCGTAATTTTTTACTTTTCCCACTATCAATAATCAAAATCTTTTAGATCATTATCTAAATCAGATGGTCGTTCTATTTAATATTCTCATCAATTGTTCTAAATGTTCTGCTGTTAAATGATTCCATAGAGCAGTTAATATTCTATTCATTATACTAAAATCACGTTCTACTGTTGCTGTACTAATTCGTGCATATAAAAATATTTCAGCAGTTAATGGCTATCGTGGATACATGTCTCTTGTCATCAAAGAATCGACTAGCCAATGAATAGTCGAATTGAATTATATGAATAATATCTGTATAAGTCCTTTTTGTTTGCTCTCATTCGTAAAAGACAAGCTACCCGTATACTATCACTAATTTATGAGGAAATATAGACGAAAGTATCGTGAATAAGACAATGATCAATATTACTAGTTTCAACCAAATGTAATAAAGACCTTCTTACGTAAGAAACCTAATAACGTCAGTTTAAGAAAAGGACGAATAAAAAAATATAATAAAATTAGTTAAGTTATCTAGATAACAAGTAAATTTAAATGTATCAGCATCAACAGTAATAGGAGAAACATAGAAAGGACACCCTTCGATGCGGTGTGAAAAAGACAAATGTTCGCCGAGAAGCATGTTGAGAAGTCTGACAGGAAAAACTTATATGATTGATGAGCAGAGAATTCAAATATTATCATATCGCACATCCTTTACTACTACTTGAAACAGACAAAATGAATATTGTCGATAATGAGAATGAAAGTGAGAGAGAATACATCTACTTTTTTTATGAAATCAATTCTTTTCTATTTTCCGGTGGGGGAATCGAAATTTTGGGTGGATCCGCCCACCCATGCTCACCCACCAGATAAAACACTAATGTCACATGATTTTCTTTTCATAGAAAAAGCACGTAAATACTTGCGTGAATTATGCGTAGATTCAAAGAAGTTCATATGCTAAACAAATGAAAATCATACGAATGAGTACACTTGAAATAATCAACTAGAATAAAATAATCAAAACTTTTTTTCTTAAGATGGAAGAATACTTCTTGCTATCGAAGATGTCTGAATCTATGTTACAGTTGAGTTTAGAATCACTTACTTTATTTTGTTTGTTTAAAAATTTGTCTAACACGTATACAAGAAAACTTGTTTGTTTCTTGTCGAATTTATATTTACTATTATTTCTCAGACAATAAAAAATATCTTCGTGCTGTTATTTTGTTTATGAAAAGCCATTAGTCATTCTGTTTATTGGTTTTTTTTGTAAAAGTAAATCTTACTCATCATTTTCCTTATAATGTAGTTTCTATAGCGATGCTTGGGACATGGGGACATTGAATGATTGGTTGAAATGAAATTAAGGGTATTTGAGCCATTTGTTTTTATGAAATGGTTTTTTCGATGCTCGTAATATTGGGGATCGAATAATTGGTTAAATGTTTAGTGTTAGCAAATTCGTTGTTAAAAGCTTGAAATTGAATTATTTATGCTATTCAGAATAGCAGTTGATCTATTTTCCGATTGTTGGAGTAATAATTCGGCTATAAATGAATTGTTGATTATCTATTCAATAGACTTATTGTAAGAAAAATTATTAATGTAAGATTGTAGTTTAGAATTCGGAATGCTCATTTTTTTTGTGAGAGATTCACATGAAAACATATATATATATATAATTTATGTAATTAAAAACAAACAGATATAGAATGTGTTTCTTGATTAGGTGTTCTATAGCAACGAACATCAATTGATTAATTACAAGGAGATGAATAAAATTCATAAAATTCTGATAGTCACTAAATAAGCATGTTTAAAAATGAAAATTTCCTATATGTAAATATTTTAAAATAATTCGAAATAGATCATAGAAGCTCCACCAATCATTTAAAATCGCTAAAATTACAAAATTTGAATACAATAGTAAACAAACATTAATTATCGTGTGACTCATCCTATTAACATGCATTCCAAACGCCTGTCTGCTACAGAATTTGTTATTTAAGCTATGAATTTTTATTATGAGCCGAATCGTTTTGAATGTAAAACTGAAGAAAAAAAAGCCAAAACACGTATAAAATACAATAAAAATTAGTTTCACGCATTACAGATATCATCTTCATAGTTGTAAATAATAACCGAATTCACTGGAGTATTACTCTTGCTAGCAAGCGGTGGGAGCGAACTTTTGTTACTAATCTGTGAAAATTGTAATAGTTTCACGAAATATTTCGTTTATGATCATTCTTACATGTGCTTGAACAAGAAGTTCAAACACCTGAGTTTATCGAATGGCTTAAAGTCTTACCTCAAGATACTCAAGAACTTCATGAGCATGAAAAAAAACCAATTCGACTAGGATTACTACATATGTTTCGTTTTCTTTTGAACATTCTAGAATTTTCTTGCATGTGTATGCGACAGTTCTTTAAACAAAAGTTTGTATGTTCTCGCATGCAACAATAAAATACATGTGCATGC